CAGCGCCAGGACGCAGCAATCACAGGAAAGCAGGGAAAACCATTAGCAGTCATAAAATGAAATCTAGGTGCAAATGAAAATATTTGTAGTTTCAAGAGAGAAAAAAATTAAGGCCATCATTAAGACAAGGGAGTTGCTGGGCTTTGCAGGAGTGCAAAAAGGGAACAGAGGCGTCCAGACCATCAACCTGAAAAGCTGATGCTTGCATTGCTCTGGGATGCGTTACGATAGGCATCACGTGTCAGTCTTGCTGGTAGTATGCATCCTATTTTGGGGACAACGACAACAAATAAACATATGCATCGGCACAATAAAAGTGTTGGAAATCACGACCTCCGAGGAAAGGGACTGCAGGCAGCAGGAGGAAAGGAAAGATGCGTTATAAGAGCAGATGGATTTGTCCCCAGATCCACTGACGCTGGATGGGAAGAAAGGTATTTGCAGGAGAGATGATTTAGATGAGATATTGGGAGAGATAGTGCTGGGCATGGAGCTGCTCTCTGCAGGCATGGGGCTGACTGATGCCATGCAAGGCTGGCAGGGGTACAGGCTGGCAGCAGCCGCTGCTGAGACCCCTCTCCTCTCTGGCAGCTGGAGCTGGACCATGCAGCCCCAGGTACAGCCCCACAGCACCGTGCCGTGGTGGGCTGCCAGGACTGCAGCAAGGAGGGCTGCGGTGCCCAGAAGCTGGGTCACCACTCTCCAGGCTCTTCTGCCAGCCCCAGAAGGTTCACATACCACCTTGTCATGAGGTCTCTGCACCTCTGGCAGACCAGCACACTGCTGTTTCTCTACCACCATTCCTCTGCAAAGGCAGGAGGGAACAAAATGCCTCCTATTTTGGCCAAGCTAGAAGAGCCATAACCAGGACAACCATCCACCTTCTCCCCACCTCTACCCTATCCTTTTAGCTGGAGCACCCAACCACGGGGACTTGAAGACAGGCGAGGTGCAGAACTCCGAGTGCACACACTCGCTGCCTCACCAGACCTCCCCAGGGGGCTTTGCAAGGTCTCCAGTGGGGGGCAAACACCTCAGTTTACCATAAAGTCAATACATTTTCATGCAAAAGCATCAGAAAGGAGCAGTCAACTCCTAGAGCATTCCCAGTCATCCACCCTACTGTGACCCAGGAGACCCCAACTACTTTCCAGCCTAGACCATCCTTCCCTGCAGCTTTGTCAGCATCTGCTGGTCATCGTTTGTACCCCAGAAAGCCTTGCCTTCTTCTCAAGCCCCTCTGAAGCAACCAACAGACCCTACCTGTTTCCTGTGAAGACATTGCTTTTGCTGACGTTGGAGTCACCAGACACATCCAGAGAGTCTAGGGGGAGATAAAACGGAGCTGCAGTTAGTGGGATGGCAGGGAAGGTAGACAGCAGGACTGGGAGGCTGGAGAGCTGCATGACCTTCTGCAAAGACATCATCAGCCATCGTTTGAGGCTCCCAGGACCCTGAGGATCCCTTCTGCCTGCAGTGAGCTTTTTACACTCCTTGTCAAGTTATTCTCCACTGACAGAGGTACTGGATGAAGCTGGTACAGAACTGCACTTACCCAGCAAAATGCAGGCTGCACAGTTTCAGACCTCTGCCCCAAACTGGGTCTCCTCTGTAATGAAGACCCAGACACATCCTTCTGATGGTTTCAACCGTTCTCAAAGAAGGAGCTCAGAACTGCAGAGCTGCCTTCTATCATCCAGATTTCAACACCTAGAGATACCACACAAGCACAGGAAAGGCTGAATCCAACCCAGGGTATCTCCCGCAGCGTGACTCCATGTGGAAGCCAAGCAACCCAAACAGCTTTCCAACCCCTGCTCCATTCTAAAACTGGGTCTTACAAGCATCGTAATAAAGCATGACAGGATAAACTTGACTCTTCATGCCCCCTTGTGCCAACAGCCTCTACTCACACATGCAGCGGCACTGCCACATCAGCACAACCAGGGAGCTGAGAGTCTGTGATGCAAAAGCATCACAGGTTTAACTGATCCTGCCTGCTTCAAGATGCAATCCAACCCCAAGGGGGTACAGATTAAAGCAATTAATCTTTCTGTCACTGTTTTAAAACTCTTCTGCAATCGATTTTAATAAAAGGAGGTATTCTTGGGACAAATAAGGAATAAAAAAAGAAAAGTTCTGCTCCTGTGCTACAGGACTACATTTCCAAAAATACTGCTGCATTGGCCGGGAATCGAACCCGGGCCTCCCGCGTGGCAGGCGAGAATTCTACCACTGAACCACCAATGCTGCCCCATGTGCAGGACCGTGCATGCCCTGGCTGCCTGCTCCTGCCAGTCTCTGCTGCTACCAGCCCGCTGCCCCACACAGTTCCCTGCCTCCTTGTCTTTGACCCGGGTGCTGTTGTACCATAAAACCCTTCAGCCTTTTAATTCCCACCTTCTTCCTCTCTCTCTCACAGCAGGATTTTCCAAAAGCCGCTAGTGGACATGTTGCAGAAGAGCACTGGGCTGAACATGCAGCCCCAGAAGAATAAAACAGATTAGCCCATGTGATTTAAATGTTACACATATTTCACATGCCTGGACAACAAAGATGTGCCAGAAGTATCACCTAGTCATCTCAGGACAACAGCATCATGCTTGCAACCTTTTGCCTTTTCTGTTCGGGAAATTTTAGGCCTGGGACAATACCCACATGATGATCTCAAGATCACCATGAATTTGGAAAGGACCCGGAATTATTCTCCTTTTTGTTCTCTACCCTTCCCCAATATAGGCATCCTCCATGCATGTGTTGATGCTCTCTAGGACTAACACAGCCCTCTGAGCTCTCCTGTGGTGGTGGTTCTCTGCTCCCAAACCAGCCACTGCAGGACAGATGGGCTACTGTCTTCCCATATTATGCAGCAGACAACAAATATTTCACTATAAATCATCTTTTTCAGGTGAACTTAATTACTAAGTTGAAGTGAAGCACAGTGAGGGGATGGGGACACTCACAAGGGAATGCAGCACTACAGCACTGCTTGGGCTCCAGGCCAGATCAGTGACCCTGCTACACACACAGCGCCAAATGCTTCTGTCTCAGCAGAGGATGATCTGTGAAACAGGACTCTAAGGCTCAAGGAAAGCACAGAGGTCCCATGTGCTCTGAGCAGCCCCAGGACACCAAATCAACTCAAGAACTTCTCTTGAGGACTTTCCTTTGACCTCCTCACACCTCTAATGGCTCAGACCAATGGGGACTCACCGCTAGACACTGCCTCTGGCTTGGAGACGGACTCCTCCGAGGTGGGCTCTGCTGGCAAGGTCGTTGACTGCTTGGCCTCATCCATTTCATCATCCTCTGGGATGACCAGCTTCATCAGGCTCTGGTTGCACACGTTTGCCACCTCCTTGATGTCTGAGTGGAGGCAGTGTAAGGAACACGCAGTCCCACACACGGCTAGATGCCACATCTGGCCAGCCATCGAGAAGCCACTGCAGCCCCACCAGGGCTGCCCCAGCCCAGCTACTGCAACCCCCCTCATGTCCAAAGGGCTGGTGTGGGTTTTAGTGCTTGGTGGGAGGACATTTCCTGGCCCTCTCCAGCTGTGCAGCTGGCCCTGTGCCCCAGGGGCAGGAAACAGGAGCTTCCTGCGGGTTGCTGAAAAGAGTAGCTCTGAGTTACAAGGATACTCTTCTTGCGATCATCATAGGAGAGACACGGCAGGACAGCAGTCAGGATCCCTGAGGAGTAAGGCAACATCACCCGGCCAGCCAGCTGGATGAACTCCCTCATCCAGCACATGGCTGTCAGCTGGATCAGGTCATCTGAAAAACATGGGACAAGCAAAGGTGAGGAAAAGGACAGCACTGGCAGCTGAGCAAACTCCACAGGCCAAGGACCACCTGCAAGCAGAGTGCTGCCTCTGCTCCATCCAGAGTCACTAGTCCAGAGAGACCCTAGTCTGGGACAGTTTAGTCCCAGAAGAGTTAGATGAGACCTGAATCTGCAGTAAGGTTGAGATTAAACACAATCATTAGGTTTCAGAGTTAGCCCAGTTCAATCCATAATCCAGGTTTCTTCATTTACAAGTATTCTGTCAAGCTTCCCAATGCATAAGGATATTTCATCTGTCACACTCATAGCAGTTGTGTGTTGGGGTCAAGCATCACTCTTAGAGCTGGGGTTTTATTAACCTCCCCAAGTTTGGAAAAAGGGAGCACTGCTGGGGCAGTCAGCCGATGCAAGGCCAGATTTTAGGCTTAAAAAGTGTAAATTCATTGGGCATCAGCTTAATCAAGAGCAAGCAGTCTTGGTCTATTTCTATTTTTCTATCTCACAAGAAACCCACTCCCATCCAGCAACGTTTAAAGAGCAATTTAAGATTGATGAGCACAGCTCAAGGACAAGATCCTTCTCAGGAAACACATCCAGCTGCTGCTGTAACCCTCTGCCATTGCCTACATGGCAGACCCACAGGAGCTACAGTGTAGTGCTAGCACAAAGCACCAGGCACATCCCGTTTAACTGCCCTGCTGATGCACCTAGTGCCATCAAAGGTTAAAATAAGCCCCCAGGGAGATCCTTCTAGATGTGCTGGATATCCACAGGTGCCCTCCAAGCCAGGTATTCTACTTTCAGGCACCTCTGCTTCAACAGGTTGCCAGACCTGTATTTGAGGCTAGGGGATCAGCAGTACAAGAGCAGTAGTGTCAACCGTGGGACAGCTCCCTGTCCGCCCCTTTCAGCAGGGTTTGTATGCATGATGGCAAAGAAAGTGCAAGTGGGCAAGCTGGTGAACAGTCCACTGGAAAACTCCTGGTCTGAACTTATGGCTGGCACCACAAACCCGGAGGTGGATGCTACAGCTTGGTCCTGCACACTCACCTGCCGCCTGGCAGTGGATCACCAGGATATTGGCCATTTCTGCAAACTTGACGCTGGAGGGGTTCTTCTTGATCTCCTTGAGGAACTCCCCGAGAGCCACCTCACACCTGCAGAGAAGCAGAGCAGCTGGTTAGCACTCAGTTGCCTTGGACGGAGAAGTTTTGGAGAAGTTATGGAGACCAGCCTCCTACATACATGCACAGAAAGGATGCTGGTGGCACAGCACGTGTGACTCCACACAGGGGCAGGGCCAGGAAGGACAAGGCTGACAAGCTCGTCCTGCTCCAAGGCAGAGACTGCACACCACTGCAAGGATGGAGGCGACGACTGCCCGGAGCCCTCCGCACCTTCCCACAACTCCCCTAACAGCCACACAGGCTCTGTTGAGATCAATGTGAGCCTGGGATGGTGAGCACAGAGGGGAGCAGCGGGGCAGATGATACCCAAAGCTTTTGGTGCTTGTCCCTCGACATGTGGACACTGGGAAACAAAGAAGCAGGGAGGATCCAATAGGGTTTGGCAGCAGGATAGACCCAGGCCAGTCTCAACACTTACTTGTGCCCTACAAAACAGGTCCAGTTACTCTCAGCGTAAGGAGCCAAGATCCTTTGACCTCCCTGAGAACACCCAGCCACTCCTCTGCTTCAAAATGCCTCTCAATCTTGAGACCAGTAACAACGGATCTGAAGAGCCAGCTCACAACTCTCCCTCCTCTTCTACACCCAGGAGATTCTGGGTTGGTGCTGCACCTTGCTGAGAGAGGCTTGTAAGCTTCAAAGCCTGTACACAGAGCTCATACACCATCCCAGAAGCACATGTGAGCCTCTATGGCTCCGACACTGGGCACAAGGGCTGAACCAAGCCAAAACAGTTTGTACCACAGCACAAACAGACCACAGTGTCATCCACAGCCACTCCAGCCACAACAAGCCAGGGAAGGGAGGCCCTTGCCAAGGACACTTTGATCCACTGACCAAGCCAGCCAGATTGCTCCACATCCCATCACGCACATGGGGTTTCACTGCAGTCATACAGAAGAGTTGCAAACAAATGAAGATGGTGAGCAAGACACAGCCCTCATGCCCGGCCAGCCTCCACACTCACATTTTCCTTATCTCTTTGCTGTTGTCTCCCAGGATCTGGAAGAGCCCATCCAGGATTTCTGGCAGGTAATCCAAGAGGTTGATGTCAGGCACAGATTCCAAGACCAGGATCTAGCTCAGGGGAGGGATAAGAAAGAAGAGAGGTGAGTTTTGGAGAAGCTAACTAACATCACCAGCACAAATCTGGTGTGATACTGAGGAATTCAGAGCTGAGCTGTGTGGGATAGCGGGGGAAGGATAAGAGGACAGCACGGAGCCGCCCATCTCAGACAGAAGCTGGGCTAGCACATGAAGCAAGCAATCAGCCTGCAGCATTGCTACATTTCCAATCACAGCTCTGTAAAACAGAGCAGGGATCAGGAACGACGGCCAAGACCTGGGATGGCAAACAGTATGGCTGAAAGAGAGAGCGTACAGGCACGCATCTCTCCCCAGACCCTGGCCAGGCACTGAGAGCTCCTGCCTTGCACAGAAAGGAGAAAGCAAGTAGAGATACCTTGCCTCCTAGAGAGCAACATCCCTCCATCACCACTGGGAGATGGAAAGCAGTCTGGCGCTGTCCCCTGGGAGACTACAACCTCTAGACCACAGTGTAACTATTTATACAAGCAATGCTTTGACTGTATTTTCTAACTTGGTGTGCAAAGTCCTGAACCAGGTTGGCAGAAGTGCAGTATGATGCCCCTGCGACTGCAACAGCGAGACGACATGGAGCTGGCATTTTAAAGAAGCAGGTGAAAAACTGCTGGCTTAAAAAACCTGCCCAAGTAAATTCAGGTGCTTGAGTTCATGTATCGCTGTGGACATCTGCTGTTTGCCCAGACCTGGGGTGCGGATGGATCACAGTATTTTGGAGTTCGGATGGGCAGGCATGTGTGGGGCCATGCACACCTACCCAGGATATGATGAACTGGCGGGCATACTGGTTGTTGGAGTAAATCCTCTCACGCAGCAGTGGGATGAAGCCTACCAAGTCAAACTGGTTGCTCTCTGTCACGATGTCCTGCAGAGCCCAAGAAGAGGGTGTTAGGAGGGATGGCCACCATGCCCACGCAGGCACAGCCACATGGCCTTTTTTAAGGCACATGACAGGAAAAAGATGACAAACAGCTGATGCATGGGTCTGCGGGTCGGGAGACCTGGGGAGAAGGAATCACGAGGTTTGTTCAGGCGATGAGCCAGTAATTGCCCTTGGGCAGGGACTAACGCTGAGTGGGACTCAGAGAGGGAGGCTCCTGCCTGCTGTGTGCAAGCCTGGCTGAACAGGATGGTGGGAGCATCTCTGATTCAGGCCTCAGTGATGTGTTACACACATGAGCAAGCACCTTTGACGTAACCACACGTCAGGGGTGGGAGAGTCCCCTGGCTTTCCTTTAAAGCTCTTCCTACATGCTTGATGGATTTTGTTGCATGGTTAAGTCTCTCGCACCAGCACGGTGGAGCAGATCTCCCAGCAGGGATTTTGCAGCAGGTGATGTGGAGACTGCATGAACTGCTGTGCTAACAAGGAGGGGCAGGACCTAGCAGGGAGCCACTTACCTCCGAATAGTAGAAAAGGAACTGGGAGGTCTGCAAAAGTAAAAGCCCGTCGGCAGGCAGAACAGGAACAGGAACCAAGCCCCCCACCTCCAAGCAGCAGCTCTGCTCCTTGCAGAGCAGTTCCGCTCACTTCTCTTCACTACTCACTTAGGCAAGAGAGGAAGAGCAGAGGAACTGCTGCCTGGGACAGGGCTGCAACCCTATTTGGATTAAAACCTTGCTTGCTTCCCCAGACACCCGGCTCCCAAGAGCTGAACACATGCACAGCACTGCGATAACCTCCCAGCCCCTCAATGCAGCTGCCTGAGATCGCCACCAGACCCTCAATCTAAGAGGCTACAGTCAGTGAGAGAAAGAAATGTTTTGACAGTAGCCACAGGACTGAGATGAGATGGTTTTAGCAGCTGCAGCCTTGGGGACTGACACATCCCCAGCCAGGACATGCCTGCAGCCTGCACACACCAAGCATTCTCAGCTGCAGGGGGGAAAATACCTTGAGAAGCCGATCGAGGAGCTCGGAGCCGCTTTTGACGTTCGGGTCAGGATCAGCAGCCAGCTGCGAACAACAGAAACAAGAGCCATTGCAGCAGAGGGTCCCAGGTCTGTTCCCTGCTCTGCAGCGGAGCTCCCAGCAGGCTCACAGGACTGTTGCTCTCCTTTGGCATTACAGGGATGGACACAGAGAAGTCCCTTTATCTCCAACTCCTCATTAAGCTCCAACAAGTTCCCCTGAAAGACTTCCTAAGGGGGACATCAAGCACCCATTGCTTCCCCCAGCTATGCAGGTTTTCATAGGCCAGCAGCCACATTCTCAAGCGGCAAAGAAATACAAGTTTCCAGCAATAAGCCGCAAAGACAGGCATACGTAGACATGGTTTTGACCCTACAGACCCCGCAAAGCCATTGTGCTGCAGAGCCACCTCGCCTGCAGCAGTTCTGTCAGCCTTATTTCCTAATATCACTCAACAAGGAGCAAGAAAATATATCCTGGAGGTGAGGACAGAGAACAAGGTATCTTACAGTGATCTCCAGCATTCACAACATCAGTGGCCACTGTGCCGCTGCAGAAAATGCTCATTTGGTCCCTCAGACCTGCCTGGGTCAAAGCAAACCAGAGTACTTAGAGAGAAGACCTTGGACAACTTGGTTTGTTTGACCCAGAGAAGATGAGGACTAGAAAACAAGTCTTACTTCTCCAGTGTGGGAAATAAAAACACATAAGGGTTGAGAGGAAGCTTCTTACCTTGCTGAGGCCATCGAAGAGCACATTGAAGTGTGGGAGGACAGAGCCCCTGGCCACCTTGACAATGTTATAGAGGGCCTCACAAGCGTAGTACCGCAGCCGACTATCAGCGTCGTTGAAACATGTCAGCACTGGCTCAATCAGCTCCTTCAGGTAGAGCCCAGAGTCCTGGTGGACAGAAGACTGGTTAGTTGAGGACCATGCCACAGGGAGAGGGAAGAGATGGCGCTGCCCTGGAACATACTGCAAAAATTCAGGCCCATGATGGCACAGTGCATCTATGCTAGACAGGATTTATTAAAGAATTTTGAATTTTATTATTGAAATTATTGAATTTTATTATTCAGGTACAGTGACAGCCAACTGAGCAAGCTGAGAAACTGTTTCAAGGGAGTCTATGCCAGCCACTGAAGCGATGACTGCAGCCGTATTCGGCTGGTTTCAATTCCCAGAGACGTGCAAGAAGTTTGGGCAGTTACTCAAGTGCTCAAGCGCCTTTCAAAGCAAGAGGGGCTGTTTCCCACTGCACACCGCTCATTGCTGGAAACTGGCCCACAGAGAAATCCGTCCCCACCTCCCTCTGCCCTGCAGGCAGGGGATGAGGCAGATCCCCAGCAAAGCCAGCAGTCACCAGCCCTCGCAGCAGTCAGCTGTCAGCCAGGATTTATCCCACTCCACCAGCTGGTTTCTGCACAAACCCACCGAGGTTTCCAGGACCAGGGAGAACATCCCAGACAGCGACAGACCAAGCCTACCTGCACCTTCAGTTGAGCAAAGAAGCCCTTAGTCTGTTGGGCTACTTTTTGTAATGTCAAGACCTGGGGACCGTGGAGGAGATGGTGATACAGGCTTCAAAAAAAGACAGACATTCAGCAGTCCCCAAAGCACCTTCCTGCCCTGTTGTCTCCAGAAATACCAACTCAGCTGTGGTGCCAACTGCCAGAAGAGGAGCAGCTTCAGCCTGTACAACTTCTTAGAAACAAGGAGCTACCACAGCTGGCAGTTAAACTGGACACATCTGTTAGATGAGTGATTTCAGGGCTCTGAATCCCAGGCAAGATTCATTTTACATGTTGAAGTTTGTCCTCCTGCACCATGGAAGAGCCATGCTACGCTGAACTTGATTCTGCCCACAAGCAAATATAGTCATTAATGAAGCTGCTCCCCAGCCCAGAAGACTTTTGCTTAAGGATTCACCAGCACAGCAGGAGTTTCAGACAAACTCAGAGGTGGAGGTAGGAGGTTGGCTTGTTTTGAAGTTAAACACCCCTACTTTAGAGAAACAGGCTGGCATATCCCAAGTGTCTAGCAAAGGAAATGGTAAGAAAATCAACAACATGTGAACTAGCAGATTAAAGAGTTGAACTCTGAGTTTTATCAGTGCCCCTCAAGGCCACCTAAAGCAACTCCTCCATCCCCCAGAGCCAGCTGCACCAGCAGCTCTGGCAGCACGGAGTGCCTGTCCTCAGGCTGTGCAGGAGGAGAAACTGGGTTAACATGCCTGGGCTGAGGGCAGAGCAGAGCTTTGCTCATCCCGCGGAGGAGGGTTTTGCAAACAGATTCTGCATTTTAACAAGAGGACGAAGACAGGAGCGCTGCTCAGAAGCCCCTAGCCACCAGCATAAAGGCAGTTAATGTAAAAGCCATCAGGCTTCAACGCATCCGCTCAGACCGATCGTGACTTAAATTAAATTCTTAAAGAGACTTAAATTAAAATCTACCTGGTAGCTCTTCCAAAAAGCACAGCCTGCTCTTCCCGAGCCCTCTGCTTTCTGTGACATAAACCTCACTACAGACCAAAACAACTCCTTCCCTTGCAGGTGTTTTCAAAAGCCAGCTGCATGGTTTGACTCAAAAGCCCGATGGAGCTGTGAGCCTGCAGAGTCCAGGCTCCCCTCCACAGGGACCTGGATGCTGTGGCATAGCCCTGGAAGCAACTTACTGAGCTTGTTCTCATTAACGAGAGGATAGTTATAAAGAAAGACCTTAATTAGGACAGAAATCAGCCAATTTCCCATGCAAGGAACATCAACATAACACCTCTAGATCTGGACCGACTAACCTATGTGTTCAGCAAGTAAAACTTCTGCCAACCCAACAGACAGCTGCTAGCTCAGGCTAAGGCAGCTTTACACCTTATGCCATTTGTTTGACTACAACTCTTACCCTGTTTGGCCTGCACCTCAGCCCCGCTTCCCAAAGGCCGTGGCTGCGCTGCCAGAGCCAGTTGAGCTGGGGGTGGGAGACAGAAGGGCTGCACCTCTTCTCAGCTCCGTTAACACAAATTAGTAAATGACCTGCTGAGCCCAGTCCAGCCACTGGAGACAGAAGATGGACAGATGCACTTAAACCACGCCTGGGGAGCTGCCAAGAAAGCACTCCTGTGCCCAAGGGACATGGTTGGGTGCAATGGGGAGACTCAAACACAACCCACCCATATGCTGCAACACAGGGAGGGAGCTGGGGAGGTGCGGGGCCACCAGCCCAAGTCTCCCCATCATGCTGACCCAGGAGGAGCCGCTGTTCTCCCACTGCAACCTGCACAAGCCAAAAAAACCCACCTGTACTTACCTTGCCCAGGGCGATGGAGCAAGCGGCCAGGCCAATGAGTCCCCCTTTCCGGCTGTGGGGGTGCTGGGAGAGCGCGAACTCCTGTGACAGGATTTGGATCACGTGTTTGATTTGAGACGTGTTGTTCTGAGCCACAAACTCTCGCACCAGCCTAGGGAGAACGGAGGAAAGCACCCAGGGGTCCTTAGGTTCTGCCCAATACAAACGCCCAGGAGCTTGGCTCCCCGCGGCCATCAGAAACAGGGATTTTCAGCCATGACAACTACCAGAGAAAGCAGTACCAAAACAGGGAACACTCAAGGAACCCACAAGTAAAACCAGAGCTCTCTCCTCCTCCCTGCTCACATCCAACAGCGGCTTGCTGCCCTCCTGCTGCTCCCAGCCTGAAGCCTCCTACACGATTTGTGAACACCCAGTTCAGAATGGACTCTCAAGGGCCACCTCACCAGGGCTGCATGCTTGCAGGGAAGAAGTCACCAGGTCTTCAGACAAACACCCTCTCCAACAAGACAGGTTACAAGGATCATTTACCCCGACACAGCACAAGACGGCAGCAGGGAACCACTCGGCACACACCAGGAGCACTGGTGGCTTGGTAGGGAATTGTTGCCCACCAGACCCATGCCCAGCACCAAGATTTTGGACCTTTCCAGCCACCCACCAATCGCTTCAGCTGGTATTCCATATATCTTATGTACTCTTATACAGCACAAACCTTAATAAAAAGCAGACAAGGTTTCCACATGCAATACCTGCTCCTCCTCAGAAACTTGCAGCTCGTTACCCAGAGATATTTAATACATCAGCTGCACTTAAATGAAGAGACCTATAATCCTGCTCCAGCCTACAGAACCACTTCAAGGTCCTGGGTCGCCTGAACAGCCCTTCAACCCTGGCTCTCCCTGCAGCAGAACCACTGGCCAGCCAGGGAGGCCCAGGCAGCTGTGCAGGCAGCTGGGCAGGCAGAAGCACACAGCTGGAGCATTGGTGGTTCAGTGGTAGAATTCTCGCCTGCCACGCGGGAGGCCCGGGTTCGATTCCCGGCCAATGCAGCATCTTTTTTTCTTTGACTTCTATCCATAATGTGCATCTCAAAATCTCAGCTTAAATAAGGATCTTTATCTCAATCTTCAATGAAGGTGCAAAAGCTTCCACTTTTGCTTGAGCAAAAGCCCACCTCCATACAGGTTTTCTTTTGGTACTATACTGAATCTCATGCTGCCCTCCCTAGACGGGTGCTATCAGCCAGTCACCCACTTCATAATCCAGGAAAATCGTTATAGAAGATGTTTATGAACTTTTTCCCCCCAAAACAATTAACACCAGTTCTGTTCTCACCCTGCTCTGAGCAAAGCAGCTGCCCCCTTTCTCCCTGGGGACATCACGCAGTCCCCCGCCCCTGCTCTTCCCACTCAGGACACGAGTTCTCCAACAGCTACAGCCCAACCAACTCTTGCAAACTGTTGATTTAGGGCAAACAGCTCCGATCTCCAGTCCCATGTCAGCAGCAGGCTCCAGCAGGAGGAACACACCGAGCTCGAGCAGCACAGACCAATGGGGCAACCTTTCTACTGCCTAGATTTAATGAACGGAGCTTTGTTTGAACAGGATTAACATTACAGACTTCCTTCAAGAGTTTAAAGGGCTCAAGATTTAACTAATGAGGCAAAAGGCACCCAGCAGTGACTTGCAGTGTCAGAGAGTCTGTGGGCAGCAGGAGCTGCTCCCACATTATCAGCCAGAGGACAAGGAGGTACCTGAGCTGAGAGGCAGCAAGTCCCTCCCTCACTCAATGTGGTAGACATGGGAGAGGTGGTACTGGTGACGTTCTGTGATGGGTTTAAGCTGATCTAAAACTGTGTCTCTGCACAAAGGGTTGGCCCTTACCCTTCTCCTCCTTATAGCCTTCCCAAATTGGGTTATCCAGCTTGATCAGCTGAACTGGCTGATCCCAAAATCAAACTTTGGATGGCATAAGCCAAGCACGAAACCCTAATCCTGGGGCAGAATAAGTCTGCAGAGCTGCTTGGATAAGGAGCACCATACTGCACAGCAAGGAAGGTGCAGCTACTGAAGCATCCCTGTGGCTAGAGATGTAAGGAGAGTGCAGCACATCCACCACAACCCACCCTTAAGAAGCTATTCCCATGAAGAAGAGAGAAACTGAGCAAAAGATAAACATGTTGAACAGAAGAAGGGGCTAGATGCATTGGCTTTGTACCCCATCAAACACTCATCAGTTTTCTCTACTGCCCAGGTACACCGTCCACATTTGAGACACGTGTCTCCCACCCCGCATCCCTCCCGCATCCCCTGCCGAAGCCTGAGCAGAGCAGCTCCATCCCCATGTCACTGGCCACCACAAGCGGCTGACTGCTCCCCTCGCAGGCTCGCGGTAGCCACATCTCCCACCCTCCGGCTTGGATCATCGCTCCCAACCCTGCTGGGAGCTGTCCCCTGAGAGAACGCTTCAGACCTCCTCCATGAGCTGAGTTCTCAGGCAGTGCTTGGGGAGGACGCAGCCCATCCCAGGCAAAGCAGTGGACCAGAGCAGCACAAAGCACCCAGATCAACGCAGCCAGAATGAGAAGATGCACAGTGAACGCGTACATGCAACGCTAGAGAGGACATGACCATACCAGCAGGTGCCCACAGACCTTCGCCTGGGATGCTCTGAAAGGCATCAGGTTCAGGCTCTTTGCCTGAGCTCTGCTAAAACAGCAGCGATGCAGAAAGAAGTAAAGGCAACACCCAAAGGCCGGGGACAAAAGCAGGCACTTCCCTCTGCACTGGGATCGAGTGTGGGACAAGCTCAGGTGAGACCTCAGGGGAGAGGTGGGATGGCACCACGAGGCGATGAACCCAGGCTGACGTGAGACAGACCCTGGACAACAGGCACGGCTGTCCCAGCACCAGCCTGCTGCCCAGTGAGACCCTCTCCCTGCCTGATGGCCACTCCATGGGGGTGAGGCCCAGGCTCGTGTGGCAGCTCACGCTGCCCTTACACCCCATCCTCAGCCTCCTCCCCTGGGGGGTTTCTGGGCTGGCACCCCCATGCAGCTGTGTGTCTACCCAGGAGTCCTCTGTCTCCACCGTTTCCACTAATTCTGGTTTACTGACCTGATCCAGGGGCTGCACATCTAGAGCCATGCTCCCTCCCTGCTCTGTCCCCCAGCCATGGTCAGGCTGGGCACAGAGCCG